TTACCACTCTCTTATACTAACTACTACTATATAACAGAATACATTACACTCTCTAATCTAACTACTACATATAACAGAATACATCCATCTCTTATTAACTACTACAGTATATACAGAAGACATTCCACTCTCTTAATCTAAACTACTACAGTATAAACAGAAGATATTCCACACTCTCAATCTAAACTACTACAGTATAAACAGAAGACATTCCACTCTCTTAATATAAACTACTACAGTATATACAGAAGACATTCCACTCTCTTAATCTAAACTACTATAGTATAAACAAAAGACATTCCACTCTCTTAATCTAAACTACTACAGTATAAACAGAAGATATTCCACTCTCTCAATCTAAACTACTACAGTATAAACAGAAGACATTCCATCCTCTTAATCTAAACTACTACAGTATGAACAGAAGACATTCAACTCTCTCAATCTAAACTACTACAGTATAAAAAGAAGACATTCCACTCTCTTAATATAAACAGCTACAGTATAAACAGAAGACATTCCACTCTCTTAATCTAAACTACTACAGTATAAACAGAAGACATTCCACTCTCTTAATATAAACAGCTACAGTATAAACAGAAGACATTCCACTCTCTTAATATAAACTACTACAGTATAAACAGAAGACATTCCACTCTCTTAATCTAAACTACTACAGTATAAACAGTAGACATTCCACATTCTTAATCTAAACTACTACAGTATAAACAGAAGACATTCTACATTCTTAAACTAAACTACTACAGTATAAACAGGAAGACATTCCACTTTCTTAATCTAGGCAGATCACCTAATATTTTTGTTTTGTTTTGTTTAAATCTAACTTCAATATATTTCTTCTCAAGACAATTATCGATTTACCCAGATTGTTTGCCTTTTAGTGGCAATGCTCTACAAATGAAATTTGATTCAATTTTAGAGACATTTTCAACCTAGTTTTCATTAAGCTCTATCGCGCAAGTTGGGATAATTACTTATATATATGTCAAAATGACCAAAACGTCCTAAGTAAAAGATCAGTTGATTTATTCAGAACTTCATTAAAGCCAAATTTCGAATAAACACTTGCCCACCCGCGTGTAAGTTAACAGAATTAATTAAGCATTTAATTTTCAGTTGAGAATTGCTAAAGAATCTTATATTTGTTTAAATATTAATAGTATGTTTTGTTTTAAAACGTACCTGTTGACATGAGCTCCAATAGATAAAAGTATACCTGCTTAGACATAGATAGGCACTCTCTAATTTATATGTTTAACTACTTAAGTATTTGTCTTTTAACATATAGCAATAGCACACTTACTACATAGCAACCGTTGCCCCGGTCCTTTTCCTTCTACACTGCCAGCAATGAACACATAAGATACCAACGTTACGAGTAGAAGATTCATTTCCGACTTCCTGAAAATAAAGTCGATTTATTGAACGATGGTCGCTGATTCCACCAAGATAATCCACAGAAACGATGATAATAGAACAGAGATAAACATTAAATAAATTTATCATTGTTTCTTCGACACTGTGGACACGTGTATATGTTTGTAAATATTATCGCATTAAAAACTCTCTATTTCAATAAGTAGTGAACATGTGTTTTTTATTTATTCCCGAGTAAATTCTATTCTAGCGTGCCGAACTGTGGATCGAAAGGTCCAAGGTCCGAGCCATCATACCCTTAAACACTCTCCTCACTTTCGACTGTAAACGTGCTATTCGATTCAAAGACCTAGACTTAACAACCCTTGTGGCGGTGGACGCTGCTTTGATCAGCAATTCAAAATTAGGAACGGCTACATTTGAGCCCTAGGGGGCGTCTGGACTGGACATTTACCAAACAGTTCGCAGAAGAAAATACTAGGTTTAAAAATTCAATTACGCACAAACCTACAGCATTGAATTATCCTGCTTGGTGAAAGAAACTCATAATTTGAGCCTCCCTGTGACTTAGAGGTAAGTCTGGGGGATTATAACGATAAAAAATTGAAACCCCCCTGTAGGCAGAGCACAGATATTTAATTTCTGTAGTGCACATTGGTGTATAGAACACATATTAATACTAGAAATAAACGACATTATAACACCAAAGTGTTGATTTTATTTAATTAGGCACTCAACGTTTCGCTTTACAGTTTCTTCAGGAGCGTTCACTAAAACACAAACTGAAACCGAGAGTACAAAGCTTTGATAAAAATAACATTTTGATGTTATAAGGTCGTTTATTTCTAGTATTAATATGTTCTGGAGCATGGATATCCAATTGTGTAGCTTTGTTCTTAAGAACAAACAAACAAATCATAACCTGATTTGTCGTATCTACTTATAATATCAAGGAAAGAAACAAACCTGTCTAACAAAAAATAACACAGTTACTCGGAAACAAGACATTCAAAAGTGCAATAGTTAGATAGCATTATTAATATACATATATCTAAGTAAATAAGTCATTAACTTAAACACGTTGATACGATAAAAAGTATTGGTTTACATTAATTGACATAGTATGATTTGAAGTCATTGCTTTAAGTTATTTAGTTCATTTTGAAACTTTTTTTTATGAAGTGTCTTGTGATTTATAATAATACAGAGACTAGTTAAAATTATCTTTTTTAAAAATTGGAATTACCAAAAAAGGTAAGGTAATTAATCAAAACTTAAGTTAAAATGAAAATCAAAATTGTAAGCGTGATATCAAAATATATTTTGCTTATGATAAAAACGTTTATACAGAGACGTTTTATATTTTTCTAAGAATGACAGTGAATAGTTAATTTATGTTTGGAAAAATGAACGCTAGATGGCTCTGATTCCTGTGATAAGCTATAATAAAGTCTTACGACATTCCTTGTTTTATGATAACCTGTTCGACCTTGTACAGTAGGTATCAAAATGTCACGTAACAGCACGGTGTATATTTTATCCTTAACTTACGTTGTTTAAAGCAATGTTTAAGTAAAGAACACTGGATTACCTTATAAAGAGAAAAATGCTATCTACAAACATTTATAATCTGTCTAGGTTATTAGGACTTATCGATAATTATATTCGTAAATTTATTCGTCTTTTTCCTTAACAAGTGGTCCCCCGGTGGGACAGTGTTAAGTCTGCGGACTTACAGCGCATTCAATTCCCGCGGTAGACACAGCAGATATCCCAATGTGGTTTTGCCCTAAAACAAAACCTTAACAAGGAGTCTACTCTAGGTCGTTAATTATAGTTCCTTTTCTTCCAAAATAATTACCCATCTTTCATGAATAGTTATCTGTTTTTTAAATTGAGATATATTTCTAGAGATACTGTCTGTACATGAACACTCTATGACGGTTAGTTCGGATAATACTCATTTACATTCACTTAAAAAGAGTTGTTATTCGCTACGACAAGACGAATGGGACACTGAAATATGTAAAATAATGTCTTCTTATTTTGCTGTTGTCTTCAAAGAAAGATAAACATATGACGACGTATAAAGTTTGTTGAACCCTTATTAACTCCATTTCGGCTTGAAACGAATAATACATCGATCAAATCTCCTATGTCCCCCTTTTTCCTTTAATATCTTAACCAGGGGCTAGTAATGAAAGAGGTCAACAAACTACTGTGCCGGCATGCCCTGTCAGTGCTACAGCCACCTAACGACGTATCTGTTGCATAGCAAGTTACCCATAGTGACTAAATACTTTTTAGGTACTTTCTATAATATTAAATGACCAAAAATACTAGGAGAAAAGTGTACTGTCCACGGGTCAGAGCCCCTTCTATTATTTGTTTAACCAGGAACAGTAGAAGAAATGCGTACTGCCCACCGGTCAAGGTGTTGGGTTTCGTGCAAGGCTACTCGAGTGCTAAATCGTTCCTAATTTTGAAGCGATAGACTAAAGGAAAGGCAGCTAGTCAACATCACTCACCGCCAACTCTTGGGCTACTCTTAATGAATGAGTAGTGGGATTAAACGTCACATTATAACGCCCCCCACCAGTGAAAGAGACGAGTATGTTTGGTGACGGGTTTCGATTCCACGACCCATAGATTGCGAGTCCTTAACTACCATGCTCCCAGTAAAGGTACCTTATATTATATTACATGACCCCCCCCCCAAA